GTTTTATCGCTACTCTTGATCTACCAAATCAAGTCTTTAGTACCACCTAAGCCTAGGCCCTCACAATTTTGAATAATCTTGATGCTTATCGTTGTACCATTTGAAACAAGTCGACAAGCACGTAATGCACCGTTAGCGATATTTGTGGAGAGAAGGATGTATTACAACATTCAAACTTTATGGCCGCTCGTTGTTAGCGAACGCATTTCTGCGCAGATGTGCATATTGTGCCTTTGAAAAGCGTAAGTATACGTAACGTTACGAGAGTATACTTTGAAAAGTATACTCTCGTAACGTATGCTTGTTTCTATCCTAATATATGTGTTGTACAAAATTGCAAGCTGCAATAAAGTTTGGATTGTACTATTACAGATATTATTGATAACATCGATTAAGGCCACTCTACACAATAATTGTTGACACAGCGCATTCATTATTTGTTACTTGAAGATCATTATTAATAAAATAATAATATATGTTGGTAATAAAATCAAAGGTGTTTATTTTTACTATTAATAGAATTTTCCGTTAAATAGAGATAGGTTCAAGTCTAGTGTTCACATAAATAAATTAACTCTCAAACAGTAGGTCAAGCGGGCAGTTGGACGTAAATCTTCCGTCCCAAATCGGGACAAGTTGCTCCCCTGGGAGCTAGGCCTTACGTTACTGACACGAAATTAACTGACTATTCCAGTCTCGAACGCATTAACCTCACTACAAATTCTAATAAAATGTTCTACATCTTAAATAAAGTTTATATTTAAATATTATGGACTTATTAATTACGATTCTCACTTTTTTTTATAAAATCACTACCTTTTGCCCGCGACTTCGTCCGCGTGGAATAAAGAAAACAAAAGTTAGTAGCCTATGTATTCTTCCAAGCTGCCGTTTACATCTTTACAAAATGTCATCGAAATTCGTTCAGCCGTTTAGGTTACAAACTCTAACAAACATCCATCCATCCATCCATTCATTTAAACTTTGGCATTTATAATATTAGTATGATAGTACGATTTAATTTCAAAGGTTTTTAATGTCGATAAACATATACAAACACAGTTTTTTTTTAGGGAATGATAAGGACAACAGAATATGCTGATTTTAGTACACTTAGTTATTTTATGAACTGATAGAATTCGCAGTTGAAGGGCACTATATTGCAAATTTTTTACAATCTCTTCCTACTGACATTGAATTCAATTACAGTGATTTAATATCAATAATATACTAAGAATGTTATGTTTTTATTAAGTTATTTAATTATGAAAATTAACAATGAATAAGGACCTCAATATTTAACAAACATTTCCCTTTCTACGTGAAAACATTGTCTGTATCGCTTTTGTATCTCATCGTTATTTACAGCCCTATAAATTTAATGCCAGAAAATGTATCATTTTTAATGATATGGTTTATCGTGCTACGGACGTATATAAAAAAATCAGCTACAATCTGACTTTATATAGCTTCGCGGACATTATTTCGCAACACCATCTAACTAAACTTATCAAAAACACATTTCATTCATTTCTATATTTAGGAATTTCACGGAGAAATAATTTAGATTCTAATCAATCGGGCTTCCTATTCGGAAATATACTATTAAAAACATGCCCTCGATTCCTTTCTAAAACTGTGAGTTTTATTAAGACATCTATCGACATACACTATTTTAAAACACTAGACACGCCTGATTCTTAGTTACAAACGATAATTGACACATGAAATGTTCAAGCCAACTAAAGTAAATATAAAAGGGCATCGAAGACTAACAAGCAGCAAATTATTACAGCAAAGAAAGAAAAATAAATTATATGGACAGCCAATATATTTCACATGTATAAATCCAATGCACCGCGCGAATGCGGAAATCCGTTGAATCCGGCCAGCTATCGCAAACTTGTCCTTCCCATTCTGTCCGCAAGCCGACGTTATAAAGCTGCGTCCAGGCACCGCTGTGGTAGGAGAAATTGGAAATACATCGCTTATTTAAGTAAATGAACGGTTAGATCTTCTACATTAAATTTTTAACAGTATCGCTAGTTTTCCTCAACTTTTTGATTTTGAATTTAACAAATAGAAGACCCAAGATAGACAGGTTTTTATATCACAATCGAGAGGCACATGCTCTATCTTTTCGTAACCATTCAACATACTGGAGACACGCATTTCTAGATTTTGCACATAGATTGCAGTACAACCATGTATTTCTGTTAAAATATGCTGTTACTTTTATCCAACAGCAGAACATATAAATTGAAAACCGGCTATAAAATTCTACCTTAATTTCTTAGCTAACATTGACTAGACGTGTTTACCTGACCTGTCTGTTACCATTTAATTTCCTGCAAACTCGCATAAGTCCATGCTCTATTTATTTGAGCGGCAGTTTTGGGAAATGAGAGGTCGAGAGAGATGTAATATTACATTTAAATTCTAAGAATGTTTAAGCTCATTCCCTAGTTTATTAACAATTTTTAACAACTTTATTTAAAGCTTATATTAATTTTTTAATCAGAGTTTGCGTTGCGGAGGCCTAATTTTAGTCCTTTTCCCTTCCAGACTATTTCTTATGAAAAAAGAATGGGAAAGAATAGTGAATTTAACGGTAGATAAAACGCATATTAAGGAGAATTATCCTCTTTATGTGCGTCTCCACCGTCGATTAAGAGACGGCAACGCATCTGCTATACCGGATGTTTATAAACAGCGTTCGCTTCGGTTTGCCACTTTAGCACATAAAAAAGACTAAATTGCGAAGCTCTTGTTGTATATGTAGTGGAACGATGTTTGCATGTACCATGCATTACATTGACGGTTTGTTCTAACGTGTAACAAAACATGTGGTTATATTACCGCACACCGTAATAATAACAAAAAGGTTACGGTATCCGCACGAGCTTACCTATTAAGACATAACGTTTCACCACATTTCATATGGTTTGTTTATGTTTAGTATAACATAGCATGTTATTACGTTTCTTACAATATAAAGTCTAGAGTGGTGTTTGCTTTGATATTTGCTTCGTATTTGCTCAACGACCATCCTTCTTTTTAAAATTATGTCGCTGTTCATATTTTCAAATGAATTTTATCTCGTAAATTAAAAAAAATGTAACTTGACGAATTGTGTTTAACTAAAAATTTTTGTAAATTTCTGTCTTTTAGCGAAAAATGTGCAGTTATCTAAAGTGATCATTTCTCGGGATGAGTTTGGAACGTAGTTTAATGGTAGTTTGACCTAACTATAGTACGAAAAACGCATCTGGCCATAAGGCTCTCATAAGGGAGTGGTTCGATTATCATGTTAGTTCCATGACACACAAGACAAGACCGCCACAGTACAAGTTGTGGCACTTTTTTGACGATAATAGGATGGAGTTTCTTTTGTAATTAAGCTTTACTCACGCCAACCGGGTCAGGTAAGTTTGAAGGACTATATGTTGTTAATTAGCTACAGTAATTCGTGTAAACGTGACGTTCATCGGAGCGTGTATGTAGGAAGCGGCGCGTGTTCGCGCGTTGATCGCTCCATTCCTGTTGCTAATAGAATAATTTAGTTCCGCGGCTGGGGTCGAGCCCCCCGGTACTATTGGGATTTCACCGCATCCATTGAATTCACCTACCAAATTACAATGACGCAATCATCTATATTTGTGTTATACTTACCTATGCTTATTACTTTAACCTATACTTACTTTTATATTTTTTATATCTATTTGACAGTGGTAGTGCCCGCTTTAACATCTTAGCACGAATGGACTGGCACGCCCGGTGTAATACCACGACCACACAGAAGACAGGCATGAAATGGAAGCAATTCCGTATTTCGTCTGATGGTGCCGGAGGCCTAATTTAAATCCCTTTCTCTTTACCGGCCTTTTTTTATAAGGAGAGGATGGGAAGGGGAAGTGGATTTGACGAAGGAGATACATAGAAAGGGGAATTACCGTCTTTATGTGCGTCTCCTCCTCTGTCGGATAATGGTAGGCAACGCATCTGCAATTGCGGATGTTTATGGGCACCGGTCGCTTCGCAATTTTGGCGGGTTCAGGTGGACGCTTGCTCGTTTGCCACCTTATGTTATAAAAAAAATACTTTTATAATAATATAAGATAAGAAGGCGTAAACACACTACTTTGTGACGTAAGATGTCAGCAATCGCAGCATATTGAATAAATCTTCTTTAATAAAAAGCCCTACACTTGCGACACGCTTTAAGAAGTGCGCACACTAAGCTCATAAGAATCAAAGACAGACTAAACAGTTGTGCGATAGTTTAGTTTCAGGTATGCGCACGCTCTTAAGCTAGATCAAGTTCGTTATAAAATGTAGTAAAATGAATAAAAACGTCAGTTAAAAGTGAAATATTGTATATTTTTACATTCCACAAAAACAATAAAGGTTTTTACGCGAAATAATTTTGATTAAAACTAGGATTACAAAAATACATGTTCTTGTTACATTTTATAATAAAACATAAACAAATACAATTCATCTAAGCGATATTAATATTTATTAAATTTGTTTCATACAATTAAATTGTATACTTAGAAAGAATATTTACAATGAAAATGTGCGTATACTTAACATATGGAAGACTTAAAATAAATTGACTTCGAATAGATTTAGGGTTTTAGTCTTAACACAATGTCATGTTGAAGTTAGCTACTCTGCGATCTTACAGTGCGACAAGCTTGTTTGGCCCGGTGTATAAGTTATAGCTGTCACAGGTATAGCACGAAAATTTACAAGAAGGTATACGAAAAATTGTTTAAGTTAGGTCCGATAGGCACAAATCTCAATAACATTCAAGTACTTTCTCGCAAATTTTCGTGCCAGACCCCTATTTGTCAGACAAAGGCAAGATATGACAATACAGTTATACAAGGATCTTGTGACACATGTCGCTGACAAGTTTCGCTTATGCTCACCGGGCCAACATTGTCGTTGTATAGTTTAGTACATGACAAACTAAACTCAGTTAATGCCTTATGCATTAAATTTATATACACTGTGACGTAATTTTGATACAAAGTTCCATATTTGAGCACCGAAAAGATTTGAAACAATTTTTTTAATTGTATCAGTTATTAAATCTATGAAAATATAACAGTAACTTGTGTTTATAACATAAAGTGAATTTAAGTTATAACATGATTTTAGGAACACCGTAATAATTGCTAATTATAGTTTGACCAAGAATACAAAGTTACGCTATATTGCGGAAATAAGAACCGATTTATTACTTATTTGTGGATTTCTATTTTCCTAGTTAATATACATTTCGATGCTTCCTTAAATACATTTATAGATAATTTTCATCATTAAAAGATCTTCATTAGTATGTTAAAACATTAGCTATACATATACAGCCTAACAAATAAACGCGGTACAAAGTTAAACTTAGGAATAAACTGAGTATAAGCAAATATTAGTACAAATTTTGCTTATACTAGGTTGATTCCTTAGTTTAACTTTATCATGCGTTTATTTCTAAGGCTTTTAGAAGTTATCTAAACAAATAATTATGTACAATATAAATATACGGTTTTATAACGTCAATTGGTAACGTAGTTTTGGTACACCGGTCACCCTGTTTTATAAAAATGTAAATATATTGTATGGATAATGTATTTAATATTGCGTATTTCCCGTACATATAATAATCTATTTTATATACAAATATGTTTAATTTCTATAATTGATTTTAAATTTTCCTCAGGATTAATATGCTTTTATGACCGGTTATTTGTTCTGTTAAAAAACTGTTTATATTATATTCATTCGCACGAAATAAATTACATTAGAATATTTATATAACGGTTACCATTGGCAAGCGCTGTATCTTAAGACATTACAACTCGTGCACAATAACATGAGTCAAAGTGACGTCATTAGTCAAATGTTTTTGTGCACGATTATGTTAAAACAATCTAACTTAATGAGAAAATAATTATACTTATCAAATAAGGCGTTAGTTAACAAGAGAATTAACAAAGTAATTCGATGGAGATAGTTTCAAATTCGTTTTTTAATTAAAAATGTACATTTATAGAGAAATTTGACTTTACAGTTTATAGACGCCATTAATTTATATATTCGATGATCAATAGATCGATTAAGTAATCAAAGTTACAGTAACTCGATAATTGACTACAAAATTGCGTAAAAGAATTTTTTTATCATAATATCTAGTGCAAACAAAAATAGACTTAATGTCACAATGATCAAACGTTCATTTTACTTTAAAAAATGTAATCCAGTGGAGTTATCGTGTTGCATTTCCAAATAATACGGAGTGTTTAGTACGAAATTTTCCAAGAAAATATTCGTAAACATGTAGTATAAAGCACATTGACAATTCTCATACAAATAACGAAACTTTCTCGAAAATTTTCGTGCGTCCAAACATAAATTTTTTTGCGTCTCTTACTTTGCATCTAAAAGTTGAATATTCGATACTCTCTCTTTTCATGTATATCTGGAATAAATAATAAAATGCTTCCAACAGTGTTATAGTACTTTAAATACAATATGAAAAAGTTTTAGATAGTTTCATTCAAGAGCATGTCAATATAAGACGACACGCAACAAGGATTTTAACCATCGATGTGTTATCTAAAACTTTTTAGTATGTCATACAGAGATATAAGACGAGATGCAAAAAAGATTTCTTAAGCCAAAACACAGACGCAACTCGTTAGCATTAATAATCGATAGTAAGAATAAGTGTGCAGTATCAGAAGGTGGCGTCCCAGCCGGAGAGGTCGTCGGGCGGCGGGTCGTCGGCGTCGGGCGGGTACTGGTCGAAGTTGTGCGTGTCGAGCGCGGACTGCACCAGCGGCGTCAGCGGCGGCGCCAGCGTGCGCAGCGCCAGACCCTCCCAGTTGAAACCGTCGAACCATCTGATCATAATATTGTATTGAGTATAACTTAAAATATTATACCAAAAAAGGAGGGGGGGGAGTGTAAAATATATTAATAAAAACCATGGAAGTTTAGATGGATAGGTGGATGAGTGGATGGATGTTTGTTTAAGTTTGTAGCCTAAACTGCTGAACAAATCTCGATAAAATTTGGCTTTTAAGCCACATGTACATCTATGTACAAGATAGTCTGGAAGAACACATAGGTTTCTTTTTATTATTTCTGGCAATTCCTTTAATTCTAAAGCTAGTAATATAATTGACAAAAGAACTCATGCGACCATTGCATGACTCCTTGGACAAATAAATCATTATTATCATAATAATAATGCGACTTTACTATAGGAAACAGTGCTTAAGGACTTCGATAAAAACTTGAATAAAATTCATACTTAGCGAAAATAAATATAAGTAGAACATGTAAATGTTTGCAAAATACTTGTAAATAAATTCTCAAACTCCAGCAATAGATGGCGCTGTAAATTTTTTGTACTGATAGATGAAACTGTTGGTATCTTTTGTGGAAAACAGATAGCGCTGAACTGACTTGTGCTTCTGTATCTCTGTGATGCCGCCGCGCTGGTAGCCGAGGCGCTCGGCGGGGTTGTCGCGGCACAGCTTCTTGATGAGGTTGGCGGCGTTGCGCGTGATGCAGCGCGGGAACTCCACCGCGTCGATACCCTTCAGAATCTTGTTGTACGTCTTCATGGGGTCCGCGCCAGTGAACGGCGGCGACCCAGTCAGCAACTCGAACATTAGCACACCTGTAATACATAGAAACAGTTATTACTCGAAATTACGAATTAACTAACTGTTGCTTACGCCTTCGTCCGTGTAAAATTAAAAAAAATATAACATATGTATGCTACTCACTGATAACATAGCTTTGTAAAGCAAAAATTACATACATAAATACAAATCTTTCCTTTTTATGATGTTAGTATAGAAGGTATAGCTAAATTTAGGTCTCGAGAACTCTTTCTCAGGATTCGTTTATTATTGTTAAAAGAAACGAGATATGTTTCTAGAAAGAAAAAAAAATCAAAATAATGCAATGCACATAAATCTCGTTGAAAACTTGATTTTTTGAAGGGTAAAATTGAACTTATTCATTGTAAACCACTCAAAAATAATATTACTCTTACAATATTTACCCATGATCCTTATAAGCAAGGCCTGATACAAAAAATAACAATTTTGATTATCGACTGATATGTCTTTGCGTATATCATAATATGTACCAACAATAATAACGCTTCTTTTCAAGCCCAAACATAGGTAATAAAATATCTTGTACTATGTTAGTATTCATCTTCCTCCTTATCTCACTCTTGTAGGGTCAGCGCAACAGGTTTTTGTCATCCAAATAACTCTATCATCCGTCATCTCAGTCAACACTCCCTTATTGATCATGACAACTTTCACGCAATACATTCATCTCTACCAGTGTACCTCCACTCATAACGTCCTTGTAACATGTGATTCATCCCTCCTCATATCATGCCCGTACCATGCTAACCTTTTACTCCTTACCTTCTCTACCACTGGGGCTACTCTCAAACTCCAAATCTTGTTAGTAACAGTTTATAAAAAATTGAATTACCCAGTGACCAGTAGTCCGCACTAATATCGTGTCCTCTGTTCATAATGACTTCGGGCGCGACGTACTCCGGCGTGCCGCAGAACGTCCAAGTCTTGCGGCTTGCTTGCAACTTCTTTGAGAAACCAAAGTCAACCAGTTTCACGTAACCCTTGGAGTCTAGTAGCAGATTTTCTGGTTTAAGATCTCTGTAAAAATAGATATTAAATAAAGAATATTCTAAGACATTTACAGGTTATTTAATAGGAGTCGTTTTAATTTAACTGCCCCCGATACGCCTTATGCAAGTGATAAATTAATTTAATAGAACTTTTTTAGTAATGAAAACTTTTTTTTTGCTTTTTTTTAAAAACCCAAGACGTAATTGTTGCAAGATATCACTGGCAATTTTGTGAGAATAAGGCGGTTTATGAACTTACCGATAAATAATATTTCTCGAATGTAAATAGTGGAAAGCTTCCACTACACACGCCGTGTAGAACCTCGTAGTGGCGTCGTCGAATTGGCCTGAAAAATTATAAGACAAAAATTGTAAAAATTTAATTATTTTCATAAAAGTTTGTTGATTACTTAGGGGCTTTTTATTTTGTGTTGAAATTTAAGTAGGGTTTACAATTTTAGTTATAATAGGTTAAGTTAATTCGCTTATAGTTATAGTAATAATACGATATTATGTGTTGCATAAAAGTTATTTTGTATTACGCTAATGAACGCTTTTGTACTGGGTAGGCGGAACTAAATGTGTGGCAATGACTAAACATATCGTAGATGTCCTTTGCTCACTTTGTTGAATTTCCTTTTTAGGTAATCATGATGTCATCTTCAAGGTCAATATAAGAAGGAATAAACGAAAAAATACATGCTTTAGATAAGAACATATAAAAACTGTATTTTGAGAAATTAAGAGTTTCTAACTAACGAAAAGCAGAAAATTCTCACAAGTCCTATTGAGGTAACGTTTTAAAAATATTTTAAATAGCGCCATCTATGATTATTCGAACAAACTAACCTTTATCTCTCAGAATGGTCCAAAGCTCACCACCGAGGCATGTTTCCATCAACATGTACAAATACTTCCGATCTTTAAACGTCTTGTATAGTTTCACAATAAATTCGCAATTCATTTCCGACATTATCTCTTTCTCTGACATAATGTGCTGTTGCTGTCTCGTTTCAACGATCTGCGCTTTCTTCATCTGCTTCAAAGCGAAGGAACGACTGGAGTCGCCTTGTATCTGTACTAGTTCTACTCGACCAAAGCCGCCGATACCCAAGGTGGCGATGATACGCAAATCTGATAGACGTAAGTTGGCAAATTCTTCGTTAAGTCTGAAATCATAGAAACATTTTGTTTAGTACAATTTTTAATTACTCAAAACATTTTTATGATCAAACAATATATTCAAATTAAAAGGATGTGATATAAAAGTATAAAAAATTACAAAAAAACAAGATATTAAAATACATATTCTGTATGGTATTTAATTATTTCATAATTACTTTAATACTTTTTTGTGTCATAGAATAGACCGACCGGAAGACCAGACCAATTATGTGTAGAAAAAAAAACTGAGTACTACAAATGTCTATTTCTTGTGAATAACTTGAAACCGAAAATGAATTTCCCGAAGTCTTAATATTATAGCAAATTAAATTGGTAAAATCATATTTAATGCTTGCATAAAAAAAATCTGCAGCCAATCAGCTTGTCGCATTGTATTCTCCACGAACTTCACACCGGTCTCGACAAAAACGCGGGAAAAATTACTTTGTGCTTGTATAAAAATGAAATTTTCTATGCTAAAAGATGAAAGTTAATTACAACACTTCGAATACTTCGACGATATCATTTCGTAATTTAAATTCTGATTAACAGTGAAAGTGTAAAAAGTAAAAGATAATTTTGCTATATAAATGCTGTCAACTTACCGTATTATAAATCCGTATTGAATGCAATAAAGAAAAATAACTAATTAAAGCGGTACAAAGAGATTTTAAAACTATGACTAAATATAAAATTAGTGTTTTATAACAAAGAAAACAATGATGTTTTTCGTTTTCAAATAAACTATTTTTGTGCGTGTCGAAAACGGTTTAGTTACGGTGTGAACTTGACACGGGGCAATAATACCTGGTGACGTATCGACACGGAACACTGATTTTGGAACAAGGAACAACAATTATTACGCGATTTACAGATGTTAAAAATGTTGTAGTTAATAGTTCGTAAGTATAAATACAGATGACTAAAGAAATACAAGAATTATGGATTAGCCTTTTGTGATTTTAGGATTCAAAATTTGTTTAGGACAGAACGACTTAGCAACAGCTTCTATAATATGAATTTATTTTTACAATATCGTTAATAATTTAATGGATAATTGAATTGTAATGTAATAAATAATGTTATATAAGTAGTGTAATAAATGACAAATTATGTAAACAAGAAAATTAAATAAGAATAAATGTACTTTCCGTAACATTATCTCTACTTTTAATTGCAAGATTATGTAATTGTAATGTTTATAATTTAATATATAAACTCTCAATCAGAAGAACATATTTCATGTAAATAATATTTTCACTCAATTTTTATTCTTAATATTATCGTTCTACGTTAATATTTGTTCACTAGTACTTATCGACACTCTATATAATTCCATTGTTAATAAAATATTGAGATAGAAAGTCTGATGAACCGATCTTACATAGAGTGCGACAAGGACAGAAAGATGATATAAAAGGCATTTCGTTACCTTTGTCTGCTATCTCCTTCATCCTTATACTTGGTGCGTATCTCGTCAAGGGTGGATATGAGCTGGTTGAATGTCTCCCGGTCAATAACAAGACACGTGGTACCTTCAGGAGAGTCGCAAATTATGTTCGCCGTTCTCAGATCATCGCTGTAATAAAGAAAACGATTGATAAATGATATTGAAACGGCAATGCAATTGCATTGAAGTGTAGCGTATATCATGATTTAATCAAATCTCTTACCCTTGTAATGCTTTCTCTCCGAAGAAATCACCCTTCGTAAGTGTTCTGATGAATTTCTCATCGTTGCTGTTTGGCTGCTTTTGTGTAACTTTAACCTGAAAAAAGAGAAGATAATTTAAGGAGTTTGGGATATTCATTAGTAATCTACTCGTATACTAACGTTATGAACAGGAAAGATTTGTATTTTTGGATTTTTGTATTGAAATAACAAATGTATTGAAATATCTTAAAAACTATTGGGTATTCAAAAAATCTTTCACCATTAAAAAGCGACCTTATCAGTGAGTAACACAGGTTTTTTTTATTATTTGTTAATTTAACGCGGGCGAAGTCGCGAGCGATAGCTAGTTAATTTATAAGGTTATACACTGAATAGCATATTTATTGACAAACATGTTCTTTCCATCACGGTAAAATCCTAATGTCATCAAAGTTCATGTCACTTGCCTTTTAGATAACATATGTAAAAACAGATAAATTTCAAACTTACATTGGCACAGAGTCGTCGCATTACGTATGCTACTTTTTTAGAGAAATGCAAAATAAAGTTTCTCTGAGCCTTAAGAGTAATAGAAACAGTAGAAAGGTACCAGGAAAGTTGGCTTACTATATATCGATATTAAAGTAACTTTCCACAAAGACAACTCTCGAGATGCCGCAAGCGCAAAAAGCCGGGTAAGAACTCGTATCAACATTTCATTACATCTTTTTCTTACATTCCAATGAAAATAATTACGATATGCGACACTTACTGCCACACCCAGTCATACTAATTCATACTAATATTATAAATGTGAAAGATTAGATGGATGGATGTTTGTTAGAGAGACTTAAAGGGCTGAACTGATTTCGATGAAATTTGGTACAGATCTAGAGTTTTTTTTTAAATCCACGCGGACGGAGTCGCGCGCAAAAGCTAGTTTAATAGATTATTAAACAGTGTTCTAGTTGACATTTGTGATTATTTCCACTAATGGTCTTCTTAGTGGATATCAAATGAAGACTTGAAGAAGTTTGTTTGAGTTTCACTAAAATATTACATAATTACGATGCATACAGTTTTATTGTCTAATTTTTTTGTGTGTATTGAAATAACTCAAAAACAACTAGCCGATTTTAAACATTCCACCGTTAGAAATGTAAGTAACTTATCCGTGAGTAACATAGGCTATATTTTTTACTATTTTTTAAAATCGCGCAGGCGAAATCGCGAGCAAAAGCTAGTCAAACATAAGTCACCAATAAAAACAAGATTTTTATTCGTGTGAATCCGAAAACACGTAGTAATATTATACCAAGTGTTTTAAAAACTTCATAAACATGTGTACATAACGAAATGAGTAGGAAATGATACCGATCGCATTCTCGAACTAGAACGAGTTTGTATCAAGTTATAAAACTTAAAAAAAGTTACATCCACAAGCGCACATCTGTTCCTTCCGTAAGTTACATAATGACAAATAAATCTAAGAAAAACTTCTGTTCTAATAACAATATTAACATCTATAAAAAGTCTAACAAAGAAAAAGTAAAACAAAAATATTCTCAAAAAAACAGTACACTAAAAAGTAACGAAATAATTCCTTGACAATAGTAAACCTACCTTATTGTAACTGTTATGTCTATA